AGAACAACACACACACACAAAATACACACCGCTGACACACATGAACGACAGTGATGATGAGCTCGGTCAGAATGGATGAGAGAATGACTGGACGGGCGAGAGACGGAGAGAGAGATGAGAGTGAGATAGAGAGAGTGTGAGATAGAGAGAGAGAGAGATATATATAGAGAGATAGAGAGAGTGAGGTAGAGAAGAGATAGAGAGAGAGAGTGTGAGAGAGAGAGATAGAGAGAGAGAGTGTGAGAGAGAGGGAGATAGAGAAGAGAGAGAGTGTGAGATAGAGAGAGAGATAGAGAGAGAGAGAGAGAGAGTGAGATAGAGAGAGAGAGAGAGAGAGAGAGAGAGAGAGAGAGAGAGAGAGAGAGAGAGGGATGAGGAGAGAGAGTAGAGATGAGAGAGAGAGAGAGAGAGAGAGAGAAGAGAGAGAGAGAGAGAGAGAGAGAGAGAGAGAGAGGGAGAGAGAGAGAGAGAGAGAGAGATGAGAGAGAGGTACCGTGGGTATCAGGTCTCCTGTAGGGCCGCACTTCCCTACGGTAGAGTTGGAGTGTTTTAGCGAAGGGCGTTGAGGTCTACAGGAAGAAGTAAAGCTACAGTCACTGACAGTGAGAGCACAACACACACCTGTGTCTATGTGCTTGTGTTTAATACGCTTAAGACACACCGGACTCTATCTTGCACCCGGCGCAAATGACTTTGTACACTGACGCAATGTATCATTCCTATTTTGCACCCGCGCAAAGCGGACTTTTCCCTCCACAGACGCACGTCGGTAAACTAAGAAATACACTAGCGCTCCCGGGGCGGTTCAGCGCAAAGAGGAGGCGTGTTCCGGCGCAAACTTTCCCTAGTGCTATTCTGCTGTTCTATAAAACAATCCCGCCACTGACCAGAAAAAGCCTAGTCTAAAGTCAGTGGCGCGTTGCGCGTTGTTCATAATGCTATTTTAAGCGCGCATGCTTGGCCATAATGTAGCGGGTGCACAACGCACCACACACTGATTCTCTCATCAACACAGATTGCAGCAGTTTTTATTTGTGCAAATCATACATTATAACAAGGACAAATATGAACACATGAGGGAAATCATTGTGGTGTCCATGAAGATGTAAATTTTTTTAGTTTTTCTTTTCCTCCGGCGGCCTGTTTAACCGACGCAGATGTGTGTGTGTTTCTCCATCCCCATACACCGCCACTTCTCTGTGTTTCACGGCCCTGACGAGAGCGTCGGTCTCCCTCGGCTGTGAACGCTCCTGCCGCGCGCCTGCTAGATCCGCCGTTATAATAGCAATCCGCCATGCAACAAGCGCGCCTGCTCTTAAAGGGAATGTGAGATGACGCTCTGATTGGTTTATTTCACGTTAAACCCAAACCACACCTATGGATAATGAAGCTACTTCAGACCAACCCCTTTAAACTTGCGTCGGGCGCTAGAGGCATTTATCCCGCCGGGAAAACAGCAACAGCGCCGGGACCCGCCCACGGAGTTACATGCGCTTTGACACTTGCGTTTCAGATCGTTTAAAATAGGGCCCACCATGTGTAAATCATAAGTCCACAGCATTGCTGAATATTTTCTGCTTAAAGGGTTAGTTCACCCAAAAATGATGTCATTAATGCCTCTCCCTCGTGTCGCATCCAAGCCCGTCAGACCTCCGCTCATCTCCAGGACAGAGTCCGAGAGCTTTCTGTCCCTCCATTGGACATGTGTGTACGGTATACTGTCCTTGTCCAGAAAGGAAATAAAGACATCATCAAAGTAGTCCATGTGACATCAGTGGGTTAGTTAGAGTGTGTTGAAGCATCGGAAATACATTTTGGTCCAAAAATAACAAAGACTAGGCCTTTATACAGCATTGTATTGTGTTCCGGAGATGAGCGGAGGTCTGACGGGCTTGGAGCCACAAGAGAGGAGTAGGCATTAATGACATCATTTTTGGGTGAACCAAAGACAGTCTCAAACACACTGAAATCGCTGGTGTTTCTGACGTCACACACGACCTTGTAACCAATCAGATCAAACGTGTGATCGTCAACCAGTGGATCTCTGAGCTGAGTGAGTGAGTGGAGGCGGGGCTCATTTGCATATTCATAGAACCGCGCATACTAAATGAGGCGAGGGTGTCGAGTTACATTCAAGATAGTTTAAGGCATGAAGAAGGAAAAAAACATCTATGTAATTTGTGGTGATGAAAGATTAAGGACGAGTGTTTAGGTGTGATCTGGACGCAGTGCTCATGTTTCATATCTGACCTGTGCTGGGGAAATGTGGAGTCGCAATGACAAATAAAAAAAAAATGGGTTATTGTTATTTTCAATCGAGTTTGTTCTCTGAAGGGTCCGAAACAGAATCCCCTAAACCCCTGGACACACCACATCCGGCACACACCAACGTAAAGCCAAACTAATTTACTTTTTATATATAGAGTTACAGGGACAGGCGCACATTAATAAACATGTGCCAGTTTAGCCCACAGTCCCTGGGCCGGTGTGATGTCAGATCAATACATTATATCAACAATACGTATGCAATAAATCACATTTTCATAACAATACATAAAGTACATTAAAACAAAACACAAGATCCTTTTATGTTTAATTGCTATTGGGATCGCTAGACGAGGACGGAGGAAACGTGCATTCTGGCGGTTCGCTCACACACACACACACACACACACACAACACACTCTCAGATCTCCTCACCTCTAGCACACACACACACACACACTCTCAGATCTCCTCACCTCTAGCACACACACACACACACACACACACACACACACTCTCAGATCTCCTCACCTCTAGCACACACACACACACACACTCTCAGATCTCCTCACCTCTAGCACACACACACACCAACACACACACACACACTCTCAGATCTCCTCACCTCTAGCACACACACACACACACACTCTCAGATCTCCTCACCTCTAGCACACACACACACACACACACACACACACTCTCAGATCTCCTCACCTCTAGCACACACACACACACACACACTCTCAGATCTCCTCACCTCTAGCACACACACAACACACACACACACACACTCAGATCTCCTCACCTCTAGCACACAAACACACACACACACACACACACTCTCAGATCTCCTCACCTCTAGCACACACACACACACACACACACACACACACACACACACTCAGATCTCCTCACCTCTAGCACACACACACACACACAGATCTCCTCACCTCTAGCACACACACACACACACACACACACTCAGATCTCCTCACCTCTAGCGCACACACACACACACACTCAGATCTCCTCACCTCTAGCACACACACACACACACACTCAGATCTCCTCACCTCTAGCACACACACACACACACACTCAGATCTCCTCACCTCTAGCGCACACACACACACACACACTCAGATCTCCTCACCTCTAGCACACACACACACACACACACTCAGATCTCCTCACCTCTAGCGCACACACACACACACACACTCAGATCTCCTCACCTCTAGCACACACACACACACACACACACTCAGATCTCCTCACCTCTAGCACACACACACACACACACACTCTCAGATCTCCTCACCTCTAGCACACACACACACACACACACACACACACACACTCTCAGATCTCCTCACCTCTAGCACACACACACACACACACTCTCAGATCTCCTCACCTCTAGCACACACACACACACACACACTCTCAGATCTCCTCACCTCTAGCACACACACACACACACACACACTCAGATCTCCTCACCTCTAGCACACGCACACACACACACACACACACACACTCTCAGATCTCCTCACCTCTAGCACACACACACACACACACTCAGATCTCCTCACCTCTAGCACACACACACACACACAGATCTCCTCACCTCTAGCACACACACACACACACACACACACTCAGATCTCCTCACCTCTAGCGCACACACACACACACACACTCAGATCTCCTCACCTCTAGCACACACACACACACACACACTCAGATCTCCTCACCTCTAGCACACACACACACACACACTCAGATCTCCTCACCTCTAGCGCACACACACACACACACACTCAGATCTCCTCACCTCTAGCACACACACACACACTCAGATCT